TCAGGGCTCGGCAAGCTTTTACTGTGTGCCGACTCAGGGTTTTAAAATTATTCTGTGTGCCAACAGCATACGTATTTTTATACAAATCAAGATCAATATACCTGTTCTACAATATATTTTATATAGTAATATATAGTATATATACTTGAGTATATATTAAAATTGAAACAGCTAAATACCTTCTTTGAGTTGTAGTAGTTATTCAGGATGTCATTTGCGGCTGCGTGCCATTGAAAATTATTTGGCGTGCCATGTGTGGCACGCGTATCGTAAGTTGCCGACCCTTGGTCTATATCATTGGTTTATGGGCTTATCAACACTTTGTGGGTTATTTAAAGCTGAAACATATTTCAGATTGTAGGAGGTTGCTTACAGTATTTGGTCTTCCCAATTGGAAGCCCATTGAAAAAGTGTTGGATCATGGGGGAAATATTTTTGTTTAAGAGACCGAACAAGAGAACTGAAAATTGTCTTTATCAGGGGGCAACCTTTTGTTAACTATTTGCCAAATTTCCTCATTTTTTAAAATCATTCAGTTTGCCAACAGCATACGTATGTTTATACAAATCAAGGTCAATATATTTGTTCTTCAATATATTTTATATAGTAATATATAGTATATATACTTTATTTATATATAAAAAAATTAAAACAGCTAAATATCTTCTTTGCATTTTAGTATTTATTCTTGATGTCATTTAATTGCGGTTGCGTGCCACTAATATGATAATTTGCCACGTATTAATAAAATGTTCATAAAATATTTTGCCGACCCCGCCATAATGGAAAGTTCATTAAACTAATTACTAAAAAAGTATTTATAGAAAATGTTCTGGTCCAGGTTAGGACCAATGAAGAACAAATCGAACAAAAGAGTAGAAATAACGAAGGTATATTACACGAAATAATAATACAAGATGTGGAAGGTGTTAGTATGACTGTCAGTCTGGTTTGGAGTGAACTACTATCGGCTCGATAAAAGGATTCGTCCCCTCTCTTGAGAGGCGTAGTATACATAGTGTTAGGAAGAGTTCATTCTGTAGGTAAGGACCCATGACAGAAAAGAACAGATAAGGTGCATTATAGCCGTAGGAAAATGACGGAAGCCGTTTAGCACGCGTGCCGTAGGTTGCCGACCTCTGTTCTAGATGATGTAGGAGAACTGTGGCATTAGCAATGGTGCCTGCAGTGATATCTAAGCCATCTCCATAACTCATTTAAATGATAAAAATAAAGAAAAAAAGGGAATTTAAATAAATGTTAGGTTCTTAAATATATTTGTTGTATCCTTAAAGATATATCCTTAAAGTTACAGACAGACAAAGGTGGTACGCGAGTGAAGGAACAGCAACGAAAGAAGAAAGGTTTATTGTAAAAGAAAATACACTACGGAAAAACAGGAAATCAGGTGGCATGCTCGTAATTCCTGAAGCAAGGATATTTGTCAACCGTTCCATGCGGCCAGATGTGGAACAAGGTCGAATTTTCGGGGTATCCGAGCCCGTTTTCATGGGTAAAATCAAATACAAATAGATTTTTTAAAGGTGGACAAAAAGGTAGAAAAAACCACCCCAGACGAGACTTCTGCCCTTCGGCATAGCCTCGTCTTGATTCCTCTCTGGCCGAAGGCAGAGAGTTCGACAAAAAATCTGGAGAAAAATTTCCAAAATTTTTGTTTAAAGATATTTGCCAATCGCCCCACGCGGACAGATGTGGTATAAAGCCGAATTAAACGCGTAGATATCCGAGCCAGTAGGCTCCAAAAAAAAATTCCAGGTATAAAATGGAAAAAAACCATTTCACGAGACTCTGCTTCTTCGGTTCAGCCGTCTTGTAAATCTAAAAAGAAGGCAGAGAGTTCGACAAAAAAGCTGGAGACGAATTTTTTAATTTTTTTTAAAAGATTTTTGTTTAATGTATTGCATATTTGAATTTGGATGTGGTATAAAGCCGAAACAAAACGCGTGGTAGAATTTCGTAGGCAAACAAGCAAAATGTAAAAAAAGAAAAGGGTTTTTTATCTTTTCTTACTGGTGAAGACATTTTCCTGAAAAACATGTCAATGTTGATTCTCTGGAAAAGCCAAATGACAATTCAATCGTTTTTTCAGCTGGTTTTATTAAAATTCCTAATTGCCGGTCAAAATATTTGCTAATCTACACGCGATCAGAATGTGGTATTTTCCGAATTAAATATGTGGTATCAAATTTGTTTACCGGGCAAATCTTTCCGTGGTATCGAGATACCCATTTGGAATCAAATTCGGCATAGCCTTTTTAAAATTCTGGCCGAATTAAGAAAGTTCGATAAATTTGGACAGAACAATAATTGCTTTAATGCAAAGATATTTGCACAATCGCCCCACGCGGCCAGATGGTTTATAAAGCTGATTCTTGGACATTGGTATCAAAGCCCCAGAATATATCAAAATTCCTTTTAACAATCGAATACCCACATAAGTTAATGGAGAATAGCCTCGTCGTTCAACCGGCCCGAAGGCAGATAAAATACATAGCACAGAAAAAATGGTTAAAAAACAAAACATTTGGAATATAAAAATTGCGCGGTTATATTTCAGCTATATATAGCTACTGATATAGTCAGTCCATATAGGCGATAGGGAGCGTGGGACATTCCATTTCAGCAATAATGTAATGAATTGTTTTTCAACTTTATTTGCAGGTAGATAATCCAAGAAATGACGTAACCTCATCATATCTGTGGTAGACTAGTTTCCAGCCAAGGCTACGGGACCGCAGTCTGTCTTGCTATTCAACTCATAGCTGGGGATTCTTTTCTTTTCCAAGGGTATTTTAGCATAAGTGAATGTAACGAACTCGACTGCAATTCGAACTCGGCTCACCGATTTCTCATTCCGAGAAGTTAACCATTACACAGCACCACACCTCCAGTAAATAATATCCATATGAATAAATAAATAAATTAAAAAAATGCACAAGTTTTCTTGTATGTTACATCAGTCTTCCTACGTGACAGTTATGGGCGGGAAATCTCCCCACAGATGCGGAAGAGACTCCCGACAACAGAAAATTGATTCTACGGAAGGATGCTGAAAATACCATGGACGGAACATGTAAGTAACGTGGAAGTTTTCACGAAAACAAAAACAACGCTTATATTTAGAATCAGAAACTGACAATTGAAATTTCTGGGAGATATAATATGGAAAGGCTTGAAAAATTTAACACATACAGGGCACATCAAAGACAAAATGGGACATATCGAGTAATCCACCTTAATATGGTTGTGCAAATGGATGGTACAACAGCGACTGGGATGGATGACGAAAAGACAGACTTTTCTAAGAGCTACAGAGGATAGGAAGCTGTGGAGAGCCATGATTGCACACGTCCTGAAGGACTCGGTACATAGATGATGATTATGATTACTGGTAGTAAGATAGATTTCATCGCTCAACAAAGATTTGAGTGCTGGAAAGAGACAGAGGCCTCGAAGTTGTAAAACGCCGAGTATCTACCTCATAATCAACTGACAAGCACGGTTGACAAGCCTTTTGGAGGTGCCCCAAATGACCTCCTCATTTCAAACGTCATATAATGAAATATTACCAAAAATATCTAATAAAATTTGTCTCACGTATAATTTAGGATGCAAACATTAAAATTTTTTGTTTGCATTTTAATTTTTGTTTTAAATGCCAACCTTTTTATTTATTTTTTCCAAGTATTTGCTTAATTTTGAGTAATGGCTAACAAGCTGTTTGTTTTTTAGTTTTTATTTAAATGGAAATTGTTTTTAACTTTAAGGATGTGTCTTGTTTACGAGGCGGTGGTGGTGGTGGTAGTCTGGATTTAAAATGTAAGTAGAGGCAGGAGGGTTTTATCCCAGTCCTCAGTCCAAAATAATTCCTGCCCATTCACCGCTTCCAGTGAAACATTTCCACATTTGGTAGAAGGAGTTGGCAGTAAATAATAATTTATTGATAAAATGTTTCTGTCCTTATTTTTTAGTTTTCTCTGTCTCCTTATTCCTCCCGCTTTTGTTTTTAATTAAAAACAACAAAAAAATAAATTAATATTTTATTAAATCTTACGTTTTGATTACATTTAGTATTTACGGTCCTCATGAAACGGAAACACCGATTCGTACAAGCGGCCGAGGCATTAGAGACAAAGGGACAAGGAATGTGTCGTCTGACCGTTTTTAAACAAACAGGTAGACAAAGGAACTGATTTAAAAACCTTGTGTATTTTTTTTTCAATCGCAAATACAAGACAAAGTTTTAAAAGAATATTCAAATAATAGATAAATTTATTGATTTGTTTTTTTTTACCGCTCATCAACTTTTTAAATGTTATTTAAAGCCAGAAAATATTTTTAGATTTTAAGAATCTTTTTGAGATAATAATGATTTATTTTACAAGCCTCGCTAATTAACCCATTTCAGTGGGGAGAAGCGATGGATTCATACCTTTCCCAAAGGTATTATTTGCGCATAAGTGAATATAAGAATTTTTTGAGATAATAATGATTTACTTATACAAGTCTCACTAATTAACCCATACCTGGGAGGAGAAGCGGTGGATTCATGCCTTTCCCAACGGTATTTGCGCATAAGAAATTTTTTAGATAATAATGATTTACTTATACAAGTTTCACTAATTAACCCATACCTGGGGGGAGAAGAGATGGATTCAGACCTTTCCCGAGGATATTTGCGCGTAAGTGAATATAAACATTTTCTGGAGATAATAATGATTTACTGATAAAATTCATAATAACCCATAGCTGAGGGGGAAAAGTGGAGGATTCATACCTTTTCCAAGTGTTTTATTAATATGATTTATTGATAAAAGTTCTACTAATTAACCCATAGCTGGAGGGAGAAAAGATGGATACATACCTTTCCCAAGGGTATTTGCGAGTAAGTGAATATAATGAACCCAACGGAAATTAGCACTCGGCTACCCGATTAACAATTCCGAGCCGTTATCCATATCACTACCCACCCATCCAAGCTTACAGCACCTGGTATTCAAAAGCGGTAACCGATCGAGGTAGCGACCAGGTTCTACGTTGCTTAACTTCGCTGATCGTACGAGAATCGGTTTTTCAACGTGATATGGCTGTAAGCCAGTAAAAACAGAGGAAATATCCTTAATTACTTTTACGTCAAGCATAATCTATTTTAAATTAAAATTATTGCTTTCTACGTACACTTTCGTACTAAATTTGAGGTGCTTTCAAAAACTATACGACTTCAATTTTTCCCGCTAAAACTAATGCTGTGAGGGTAAAATCGTTCAGGTCAGAAGTGACATCACACTTCCTCTCCGCGCCAGTAAGCTGTGTCAGTTCCTGGCTGTTACGCCTAGAGTACAGACATGTAGTTCGGGGTCGTCAGATTTTCGTTTTCACGCAAGATTACCGAACGCAGAATATAGCATTAGGTTTTGCCAAACGCTTGGTGATACTCAAGTTCAAACCACTCAGAAGATTCAACAGGCCTTTGAGATAATGCCATGGTCAAAACCCAGATCAAGATGTCGTATAATCGCTTCAAACATGGTCACACCTCAGTGGAGAGATAGACAGACTATTCACAAGGCGTGAACGAGAAGCTGGTTGGGGATTTTCGTCGAATAGTCATGGAAGACCGTCGCGTAACAATCCAGGAAATTTCTCACGAAGTGGGAATCAGCGCAGGATCACGGCATTCCATTTTAACGAATGATTTGTGCATAAGGCAAAATTCATTCCACCCACATAACCCAAGATTTCCTTGTTAAGAACAACATACCATTTATTCGGCAGGCTCCCTACTCTCCCAACTTGTGCTACAAGTTTTGATGTGCGGGTGGTGTAATGGATAATGGCTCGGAATTGTTCATCAGTGAGGCGAGTTCCAATTCCAGTTCGTTATAATCAATTACACGCAATTAACTTTGGGAAATGTATGAATCCACCTTTTCTCACCCTCCAGCTATGGGTTAATTAGTAAGACATGCGTCACTAAAACCATTATTATCCCCCAAAATAAATAAAATTGAGAACAAAATATTTAGATTTCAGCATTAATTAACCAGTTGAGGTTGATATGCCGCTAAGCAAACCAACCAACCAACCAATCCTCCGACTTGGCACTGTGTGATTACTGGCTCTTCCCCAATCTGAAAACCACGCTGAAAGGGAAGCGATTTGAGTCGCGAGAGGAAATTAGGAGAAAAGCGATGGCAGAGCACCATAATATTCCAGAGAAGGCACCCTAGATGTGTTACCAACAGTGCCAGAACCGCTGGGAGAAGTGTGTAAACTCCCAAGGGGAATATTTTGAAGGTGATTAAATAAAATTTGTCAAATGCACGAAATTGATTTTTTATGCCTAAAAGTCAGATACGTTTCAACACTCCTCGTATATATGCTAATAATATAATAGCTCTATCAGACCCTGATGATCGGCATGTCCGCGAAACTTCGAAATCGACCGCAGATAAGTATTTAAACATTTCTGAGTTATTGATAATATATATATATATGTGTGTGTCTGTATTTCGGCAGCATGTTTTCATTCAAACAGATTTCAGTAAATAATTTAGACACATTCTGTCTATTTATTTTCGATAGGATCCATTCTTATTCGCGAATAAGCTTTTTGTGCGGTTGTTAAAAGACGAGAGGAAAACATCAAACCATGATACAGCATTACCTGATGATGACATCATGCTATGTCGAAAGTACTCGGAATAAATACAATATGAGTCAAAACAGTGTTTTCCTCTGGTCTTTTAGCAACTGCACAAAAATTTTATGAGTGAATATGAAAGGCTCTTATTGAAAATACGTAGACAGAACGTTTCTAAATTATTTAACGAAATCTGCCTGAATATATATATATATATATATATATATATATATATATATATAGAGAGAGAGAGAGAGAGAGAGAAAGAGAGAGAGAGAGAGAGAGAGAGAATGTTTTTGGGAGGAAAAATAGTTGCATACCAATTTTTTTGGCTTAGAAAAGCGAAGTTGAATTTGAAAAAAATTAAATAGTTCATAAAATTTAAAAATAAATAGCCATGACATTAGTAGAGAGGAAATTGTCAAAATATGTAAAGACGGTAACAATATATATATATATATATATATATATATATATATATAGAGAGAGAGAGAGAGAGAGAGAGAGATAGATAGATAGATAGATAGATAGAGAGAGAGAGAGAGAGAGAGAGAGAGATTTTTCTAAAATCTGGTGCACTCCACAAAAAATTATTCGCCGCCTTATGGAAATTCTTTAACATTCTAAAATGTTAGGAAGAAGACAATATATGAGTGCCACATACCGCGACAACTCATTCGTTCTGCAACAATGGCGAAGACGGTCAAACTTGACAAGCTCCGAATGGATGTACAACATTTTCCAACCGTTTAAATGTCCCTAGATTGACAATTCGTAACATTATCAAGTACAACGGGACTCGTTGTGTTGAGAATAAATTAAGGACTGGCAGAAAAGAGTTCATTTCTGAGAGAATGGAAAAGAAAATTGTTAGAGATGTTTCGAAGAATCCTCAATGACAAAGGGCATTGTCAGTGATGTAAAGACATCAACGTTGAATGTATCAATGAAGGCAATCATTAAATGCATTCATCGATCAGGACTTCGAGACTGCCACCCAAGGAAAACATACTTGCTCAATGCTAAACACCTAAAATACAGACTAGTTTAAGCTAGAAGCCATCAAGAACATAGGAGTAAATATTAAAACTGTTTTATTATAAGGTGAAACCAAACTAGAATTATTTGGTCACATGAACTCCCGTCATGTATGGAGGAAAGTGGATGAAGCTCACAAACCAGAAAATACCCTTCACACAATTAAGAACGGTTGTGGGTGCATTCTGCCCTGGTTGGGGGGGCTACTTCTGGAATAGGAGAGCTAGTGAGAGTTCAGGGTATCATGGATAAAAAGAAGTATTTGACTATTCTATGATAATAATAATAATAATAATAATAATAGAAAGCTTCTCACTTGCTATCGCATGCATCATCCCAAAGCTGATATCGATCGTCTGTATGTGCCCAGATTCGAAGGAGGCAGAGGATTAGTTCAACTAGAACTGTCCTACAAAACTACAACAATTGGCCTCCAAAGATATTTGGAAACTACAGAAGACTGGATGATGGTATGCGTCAAGGAACATGAAAGTAGTAAGCGTCTTTACTCCGTAATGAAAGAAGCCAACAAATTCAGAATGGAGTTTCAAATGGGCGTAGAGATGCAACTACAGCACAATACACCGGCTGAAACTGCAAAATACTTAAAAAAGACAGCAAAGACGAATGCAACCGACCAGCTACAGAAGCGATGGCAAGATAAACCGCTTCATGGCCAATACTCGGCCCGTACCAAACAAGCTGACGTAGACAAAACCCGTACCCATCAAGGGCTTTATCTATGTAATTTAATTTTTTTTTTTTTTTTTTTTTGTCAGTGGAAAGTGTCATGACGCCATTTCTAACCTTAGGTCCCTGGGCGGGACCCGGAAAGAAATGTGTAAACGCCAGAAATCAAAGAAAATAAAAATAATAATAATAATATTTTATAATAATATGAAAAAAGTATAAAAAGCTGTCTTTGGGGCGTCACTGGACGTTCCAATATGACAATGACCCGAAACACACGAATTGTTTCAAAATACTTAGAATACAGCAAAATAAAGGTATTGGCGTTACCCACAAAAAATCCTGACCTGATCCACATTGAGAATTTATGGGCTTATTTGAAGAAAAAAAGAAAGTAAGAGAAAGAGGATGTGTATACAAAAACACAAAAGTTACCTTCCTTTCATAACTGAAATTTTTTTAATCGAAACGCTGTAAATGAACAGCAAAAAATATTTTGAATTTACGGAGCTACTGTATACACATCCACAGATATTTGAACCTTCTGAAGATGACCTCAGATGAGACTGAAAGTACTTGGGAAAAGAAAAATTATTTGAAAGAAAATTTTGATCAATTTTTTACAGCCACCAAGAAATTAATTCGTGGACTTGAAAGGATTAAAACTAAATTAAATAGTCATATTACGTCTAAATTATTTAAACAAAACTGCTTGAATATATATATATATATATATATATATATATATATATATATATATATATATATATATATATATATGTATGTTTGAATAAAACAGATCAGGTTTTAAATGTAATAAGTTGTTTCACCACACTTTTTAATGGGTTCTGGATCATCAGAATTTACTTCCAAAAGTTAAAAAAAAATAAATAAATAAAAAAAATAATTTTTGATTTTTTTTTTTTTTTTTCAACATTTGGAAGTAAAGTCTGTTGATCCAGAACCCTTTAAAAGGGGTTATGGTGAAATAGCTTATTACATGGAATCTTAACGTGGTTTGTCTTTTATTCAAACATATTTGCTCTGAATTTTACATTGAGCTCTCTGGATATCATCCTCTTTGGGTCTACCCATACGGATTAGCTAAATTTGCATAAACTATATATATATATATATATATATATATATATATATATATATATATATATATATATATTTATATATTTTTTATCTATTTTTAATTTCGGTTAATTTATATTTAATTTTAATCTGTTTTATCTATTATAATTTAATCTATAATTATTTTTTAAACATATATGATGGACTATCTAACCTCTATATTTTAATCTATTATTAATCTATATAATCTTTAAATTTAATCTTACGTTTAATCTAGATTTTACCTTTTATTAATGTATTTAAAAAAAATTCCCTTATATCGTAAAATTTTCTTTTAGGCTATTACTTATCTATTTATTTATTCCTTTATCTTAGTATTTTTAATATTCAGGTTTTTCCAGTTTATTTACTAATAATGTCTTTTTTTATTATATTAATTCCTTTGTTTAATATAAAAATTAAATAATAGTTTTAATATTAAATTCTAATTTTTCTTTTTATTTTGATCTTTGAAAAAAAAAAAATTTAAGATAGTTACTTAACCTTTAATGATTGTATTTTCCAGTTTTAATTTTTTTCCCATTTGAACAAGAGTTAGCATTTTATATATCGGTCATTGTTAATCTTCAATCGTTTTTAACT